AAAATATATATATATATATATATATATATATATATATATATATATATATATATATATATATATATATATATATATATATATATATATATATATATATATATATATATATATATATATATATATATATATATATATATATATATATATATATATATATATATATATATTGGGGGGGTGGGGGGGGGGTTTGCGCTCGTGCATGTTGCGCTCAGTTTCACGTTCATTCTGATGTACAAAAGAATATGCGTGAGATTCGGTGTACGCAGTGTTTCATACGTCTGAATTTTTTTCTGCGTACGCACATTTACAGCTTTTTGCGTACGCAATGTTTAGTATGATTTCCACGCAAGTCTTAGTACATGAGGCCCCAGGTGTTTTAAAAGAAAGCAGTCTTCCTTCCACCTCTTGCCAGTCTCCAACATTCACAGTTACTCTTATCTTAGTGAAGACACTATCAGATGTTTCCTCTTGTTATGGCAAAGCAGAAACAATGATCATTGGATAACTGCAGAAAATTTGGCAGTAAAAACATGATTATATTATATTATATTATATTATATTATATTATATTATATTATATTATATTATATTATATTATATTATATTATATTATGTTTTATTATATTATATTATATTATATTATATTATATTATATTATATTATATTATATTATATTATATTATGTTTTATTATATTATATTATATTATATTATATTATATTATATTATATTATATTATATTATATTATATTATATTATATTATATTATGACTTATTTTATACTTCAGAAGCGTTAAAAATTACATACTCCACCCTTTCATAGGTGCTTTAAAAAAGACATGAATTATGCATTTCTGTTTCAAAACTCCCCATAATGCTTTAACTCAAAGGGTTCAGTTGTAAATACTCCAGTTATTTTCTATCGTGTTTGAAGGAAGGGTCAAACATTATGCTCTGCTAATTGAAAACATTCCACAGATTTTCTCAGTAGAGCTCAATCTGAACATTTTCTTTCCAAACGTTGCTTTAATGTCAAGTTAACCAGGTCATTGCAGCCTGGTGACTCTTCTGCATTCATTAGAAAAGATCTGCATGAATTGATTGCAGGTATAACGTATTCTGAAGCCGTACAGGTGCTAAATGATCATCTATCATCTACTGGCCTAGCAGTCTTTCACTATTTAACTTGGCAAACTCGAAACAATATTCAAAGTGAGAGAACAGAAGCAGCCAGCTGGCTACTGCCGAAAACTGTGAGCCATTATTTTGCACTTGGTGTCTTGATGTGTTGGAGACGCTCGTTGGGTTTAGGATCCTGCTAAATGGAGTGTCATCATTAGTAGCACAGCCAGAAATTCTGCTCTCGTCTGCTACGCTTCTTCAAGGGAGGAAGAAAATGGGATTGCTTACCGTTTGACCTTAAATCAGACCATTTCCATCATTGCATTGTGTTGTCTGACTGTGTTCTCAGTCACAGGCTGTTTCATAAACAAAGTGCTTTATGTCATTGGTGTGTTTTGCCTGCATGAAAGTGCTTTGTTACATGCATACTTGGTTTTCCTCATGCTTAAACAATTTAAACTTTATTGTGTTATTATATTGTATTATATATACTGGCCACTTTAATAGGTACACCTCACTAGTACTGGGTTGGACCCCCTTTCGTCTTCAGAACTGCCTTAATCCTTCGTGGCATAGATTCAGCAAGCTACAGGAAATGTACCTCAGAGATTTTGCTCCATATTGACATAATAGCATCACACGATTGCTGCGGATTTGTCGGCTGCACATCCATGATACCAATCTCCCGTTGCACCACATCCCAAAGGTGCTCAATTGGATTGAGTTCGGGTGACTTTGGAGGCCATTTGAGTACAGTGAACTCATTGTCATGTTCAAAAAAACAATCTGAGATGATTCACGCTTTATGACATGGCACGTTATCCTGCTGGAGGTAGCCATCAGAAGATGGGTACACTGTGGTCATAAAGGGATGGACATGGTCAGCAACAATCCTAGGGTAAGGTGTGGTTTTGTGGTATATATGTGGTATTTATGTGGTACCATTACACCACCAAGGCATTTCCACCCATAGAACTGCCGCTCACTGGATATTTTCTCTTTTTCAGACCATTTTCTGTAAATCCTGTAGATGGTTGTGTGTGAAAATCCTAGTAGATCAGCAGTTTCTGAAATACTCAGACCAGCCCGTGTGGCACCAACAGCCGTGCCACATTCAAAGTCACTTAAATCAGCTTGCTTCCCCATTCTGATGTTCGGTTTGAACTACAGCAGATCATCTTGATCATGTCTACATGCCTAAATGCATTGAGTTGCTGCCATGTGATTGACATATTAGAAATTTGGGTTACCGAGCAGTTGTACAGGTGTACCTAATAAAGTGGCTAGTGAGCATATTATATTATATTATATTATATTATATTATATTATATTATATTATATTATATTATATTATATTATATTATATTATATTATATTATAAGTAACAATTTATTATTTTTAAAATAATAAATTTACTTAATTTACTTAAATTTACAATTTATATAGTTTTTTTTTTCTTTAATATTTATTTTTCTTGTTTTTATCTTTTGATTTGGAACTATACATATATTATCTTATAATAATAAACTTTAATTATATTGAAAAATGTATGTGATTAAAATGTCATGAAAACGTATTTTATATATTTATGAACGTAACTTATTTTAGAAAGTTAATCAGCTTTAATTTTTTTTTAATTTACAAATTATAACTAGATTTTTTCTTTATTTTTAAGTTCTTTTAATTGTTGTAAGTTAAAATGACTTACTGTATGAAGTAAATTTGATTCTACTTAAAAATGTAAAGCAGCATCAAATTTTTGACAGTCTACAATTTATTATAAATAAACTTATATGGAAAAAATGAAGAGACTACTTGAATTTTTAAGTGAAAAAAAATGAAGTTTCTCCTGATTTATTGGATTTATAGACATGGGTTTGAGTAAAATGCAAATATTTTAACAATTGTTATATATTTTTTATGAAAGTCAGAAAAATTAAATTAAATTAAATTTCCTATTTTTTGGTATTATGTTGTCTAAACATAATTAGAAACCTGTTTAAAACTTGACAAACATATTTCCATTTTTAACGGAAGTATTGTCATTAGTCGTTTGCCGAATAAAACAAAAAATTACATTTTACTCAAGCACATAGCTTAAATGTAAATCCAGAGAAACTCTGGTGGCTATTTTTGATATTTATTTATTTATTTATTTATTTATTTATTTATTTATTTATTTATTTATTTATTGTTTGTTTGTTTGTTTGTTTGTTTGTTTGTTTGTTTGTTTGTTTGTTTGTTTGAATCGATTATTATTTATGTATTGTTATTGTAACAAATTGTTTAGTAATAGCCTTGCTGTTTTTTGGATCACAATTCTTGTCTTATGCAATAGCCAAAAGTTCACATTATGGGTCAAATTTTTTAAATTTTTTTTATTACCAAAAATCATTACAATTCAAAGCAAAGATCGTCTTCCATGAACACAGTTTGTAACTTTCTCGCTGTAAATATATCAGAACTTAATTCTGTATTATTAATATTCTCTGATTAAGATCCTAATTTGGCAAGTTCAAAGGTGATTTGCTCAATATTAAAAAACAAAATGTAAAATTCTTACTTGAAATTCTTTGCACTGTTTCTACTCCAAATATCTAAAACAAAATCTTAAATCAGTGGGGTAAGAAAAAATATGCTTTTTTTTCCTTTTGACATAAGATTGTTTTGCTTACACCACTGGAAGATTATTTTTAAGAAAAAACTCACTTAATTTTGATGTTATTAATTAACATTACTTTCTTAAAATACTTATTGACCTAAGAGTTTTTAGATATTTAGTCTAGAAAAAATACAAAGAAATCCAAGAAAGGCATTTTTTGCAGTCTATAGTTCAAAGTAGTGATTAGTTCATAGTCAAATTCTAACAAAACATACATTAATGGAGAGCTTATTTTTATTCAGCTCCCAGAAAGTGTATACATCTCTCTATTAAAGTGTTTTTGTTGTCCAACTTTGTGGTCACATATTAGATACAGTATGCCTTGCTAATTCAAAAGGTGAATTGAACACCATCTACTCTTTCTAAACAACGGTTGAATAAGCTGCTTTCTAGCTAGAAGATTTCAGCTCAACTCTGACATCGTGACCATCTGATCAACATTCAGCGTGTGTTAAAGAGTTTGTGAATGAATCTTCTTCTTTCTGCTTCTTCATATCTCAGTATCGGCCCTTCGATCCCTGCAAGCAGCTTTGGTGTGCTCATCCTGACAATCCCTTCTTCTGTAAGACAAAGAAAGGGCCACCAATCGACGGCACTGAATGCGACATTGGGAAGGTACGAATACAGGGAGTGCATTCACTGAAATTGCAGGTTCCATCATGTTCATTTATTTGTATTTATCTGAATCTAGTTAATATGACTTGTATATTATGTTCATAGTACATCCATCTGCAAATATTACCCATACTTTTTATAATTCAATTCAACTGTTTATTGTCATGTGCACACATGGGCGTGGTAGTGGGGGGAAAAGTGGACCTGACTACCCAGGGCCTCGTCTAGGGAGAGGGCCCTTTGAAATCCCACCAATTTTTTATTATTATTATTATTTTTTTTTAGCCTACTTCGAATTAATTGGCCCCTCCAATTGATGTCAATGTCATTATTTATTTCAAAATATATTGATAACACCCCCCCACGAAATGGTTTAGTCCGCCCATAGACGGCAGCCAGCGGCAAACAAGTAACGCAGAGAGTCTAGAGCCTGATCATGCTGCGCAAAAAGCCCAAATCGGGCTTTCAATAAAAGAAAGACAGGAAGGAAAAAGAAAGGAGGCAGAATGAGGGGAAGCAGCTGATGACTGCTTTCTTTTTTTAAAAGTTGAACTGAGTTTGCTTGTTATGAAACTACATCTAATTAAAGTTAACATAGTCAACTCCAGACAGCTGCTGCTAATGCAGGGCTTGAAATTGCGACCATTTTGGTCGCATATAATGCTGATTTGTGTACAGTCATTACTAAGGAAACCGTAATATTTCAGCGCTCTTAAAGCGCCCCCTTGTGACAGAGAATGAATTTTTATTTCCAATAAATTTTTTCAGCTGTTTATGGTCAAATTATTGCAATTATCGATCCATGTGTAAATGTGAAAGAAGTTAATGTGCCTTTTAAAAATCTAAACAATTAAGTAATACTAATATAAGAAATTACATACTTGATTTATCCCTTTTAATGGTATAAAGGTTGAAATGCCATTGTATTAGATATTTTGTGTCTGTATACATCTGCAAGATGTCTGTAAAAGATCTTTTGATCTGGAAAGCACCTGCTGTATGCAAACGTCTGGCAGACATCTTTATGATGTCAGTTTTACACACATTCTGAATCGCAAACATCTTAAAGATGTCTAATAGAAGTCTGTTTCACATCTGATAGGAAACGTCTTGTAGATGTCTTGCAGATGTGAATGCAGACGTCAAATAGACATCTCCGAGATGTACGTGTGCTAATCAAAATCGGCCATTAAGAATCATGATCGGCGCCAGAGATGTATAAAGTACTAGAGACCCATACTTAAGTAAAAGTACAAGTGCTTTATCAAAAATTGACTTGAGTAGAAGTAGAAGTGCTCTTTAAGCACCATACTTAAGTGGAAGTACAAAAGTATTCAACATTTTTTGTACTTAAGTATTGCAAGTAGTTTATTTCAAAATTTACTACTCAAGTACTGAAAGTAAAAGTACAAGTATTGTGTAATGTAGTTATTAAAGAAAGCAGTCAAAATACACTAATTGTTTTGTTTATTTTAAATATCTTTTTTGGGGTACTTAAGCAGAACGAAAAGAAACATGGCTTATGATACTGTTTTTCTCTGTAAATAGTTTCTATGGTACAAGAGCTCACATCGTCAGGCCCTTTTACCAGAAAATGCCTTCACTGATGAGATAATTCAGCATGTTCACTTACATACATACTCTCTCTCACTCTCTCTCTCTCTCTCTCACACACACTCACACACACACACACACACACACACACACACACACACACACACACACACACACACACACACACACACACACTGCCCTGCACACACCTAAATGTACACTCTCTCCCCACTCTCACACATTCATACACTCTCACACACACAGTTCTCTCTCTATCTCTCTCTCCCTCACACACACATTTTTGTGTATTGTGGGGACATTACATAGGTTGCAATTGTTTTTACACTCTCTCTTACACACACACACACACACACACACACTGTTGTTTTCTCTTACTCACACATTATTCACTCTCACTCACACACACACACAAAGACACACTCACACTTTGGGAGTTTTAAAGTTTGATTGGTTAATACCACAATAAACAGGAGTTCTGTCTTCTGGAAGCACTCGTGAAACTAAACTAAACAAGCAAACTAAATCCTGCTTCACAAATTCACTTGATTTTGATTTTATTGTAAAAAAACAGGAAAATGTGTATATTACTGTGTTAAATGAAAATCTGAAATATTTTATGGCTTATGGCTATGATTTAGTAATAATTGTTATTTATTTTTATCATGTTTTTAATGAAATTGGTCTTACAGTTCATATTTCTGTAGTATATTTATTAATTCTGGTACTTTTACCATAAACCAACATCTCAACCATTTGGTAGAGGCTGATATTTTAGAAATAATGTGATGTGTTGAATAAAAATGCACTGATTGTGTTAACTAGCGACATTAGGAGTTAAGAAATGCAATCAAAAAAATTCTATTGCTTTTGTCTTGGTGTGACAGTTAAAGGGTTTTTTGTATTAAAATTTTGTCCTTTAATACAGCAGTCAGATATACGAACTGTGCCCTTAATTTGACCTGCTCAAAGAAAACACTCTTTCTGGATGTATCAAACAAAACTCAAGCACAGAAGACAGTAAGAGCATTTACAGCTAATAAACTCATGTCAATATTATCCCGCCTGCTTTTTGAGCGCTGACAGGCGGGTCTTACACGGCTATGATTGGTTATTGTCCTCAACAGAAAGGGCTTTAGAAATATAAGCGCTGTTCACCCATGGCGGGAAAAATACGCGATTATCACAGGTAATAGACACAGTAGAGAAAACTTAATTGCACATGAGGCATGTCTGGATCCACAGCTTTAACAGCTAAGAAGAGAGGAAAAGTTACCTTACAAACTGGCCAGCGGGTCAAATTTCCAAAGTGAGAGAGCGAGAGATAGGCAGAGGTGAAGTTTTACAACATTTCTCCCTAATAGTAAACTAGCGGCTGATATGCTGTGCCGCCTCGCACTCGCGCCTCCGTCCTTCGCCATAGTATTGCGACATCGCGCATAGGAGATAAATGACGTCATCACGTAATAACCGGGTATGACCTATTACTGAACTGATATCAATCATTTTGACACCCCTAGTAACGAGTAACGATGCAGCACATAAAAAATCTATCGGAGTAAAAGGTATTAAACTCATGGAAAATATGTACTTAAGTAAAAGTGGAAGTAGGAGAAAAAAATAATACTCCGGTAAAGTACAGATACTGCCTTTTAGTACTTAAGTACAGTAGTGAAGTAGTTCTACTTCGTTACTATACATCTCTGATCGGCGCATAACTAAAAAGAAAATGGGTGCTCCTAAATTTTTTGGGATGCTCCTAACTCCTAAAGTTAATTTCGAGCCCTGTAATGTATGTATGCTAATGTTAAATCTTTAGCTTAGTTTGTCAACCAGGCTGCTTGTTGCTGTAAGTAAATTACGGGCCAGGCCAGCTAACGTTTCTGAGGGTACATTTGTCTCGTGTTCTCCTGTTCAAAAATAAATGTTTTTATATCAAAACTTGCATCAGTATCATGGATCAAAATGTCAATACACAAACCCGATGTAGACTACGGTTTAAAGGTATTTGAGCACAAGTAGGCCAAATGCATCAATTTGGTGGTGAATGAAAGAACCAGTCACTATTATAATCTGATTTGATTATAGATTAAAACACTATTTGAGCATGTTTATATTCAAATAATTAAAAAAAATGTGTAGGGGGCCCGCTGACATTGAGAGGATACAAGGCCCCGAATTTGGTGCTACGCCCCTGTGTGCACAGTAAGGAAACATGATTCCCTGTACAATGAGATTCTTACTTTGCCATCCACAGTGAAGTCATACACACAACATACACACCATACACATAAATACACATATATACACACAAGTGACTGAAGTATGATTATAAAATGTAAGTAGATAAATATCTATGAAAGTAAACAATATATAAAACTGATTTAAGTAATGAAACAGATGTAAACAATGTGCAGTGGTTCTTAAATTGTGCTTATAATGCAAAACGTGCCTAGTGCAATTGGCTTATGTGCAAAAAATAGTGCAAACTGGGATGGAGAATGTAGTGTTGAGCAGAAATACAGACTGTTATGTGCATTGGTTATCTGTTTAGAAGTCTGATAGCTGATGGGAAGAAAGAGTTCTTGAGTCTGGCAGTCCTGCATCTCACACTCCTATACCTCCGCCATGAGGGTAGGAGTGTTAATAATTATTGATAATTGTTATAAATTAGAGGGCCATGACACCCCCACTTTCGGTTAAAGTCTACTTCAGAATTTTTTCAATAGATGCATGATTAATGGGCGTGGAGCTCCACGAGCATCGGGCAGGAGTGGGCGTAGCCAGCAGGGGAGAACGTGAGCGAACGAAGCTAGCTCACAAAATGAGACAAACCGTGAGGAGACGCATGAGTTTATAGTTTACAAAGTTAAAATGCAAAGAAATAAACAGTAATTTAATGCCCTGCTACATTTGTTATTCGTACTTTCATATACACATAACCACAATTTATATGATTATAAAGATAAGTGTGTTCATGTAAACACTATAAATGAGGAATTCTCCCTTAATCCCCGTATCCAGCAGACTCAGTGCAGCAGGTCTCCTGACCTGTCTATTTTAACCATTAGCCCTGCTGGTAATCTGGTGGATTTAGGCAAACACAGCAGCACAGTGATGTGTCTGAATGTGAACGAACTCCTGATAAAAGACAGCGTCCGCCATTCTCTAATTCTCGTGCTGCTCTCTCGACAAAAATGCTAGCAGCACACACACAGCTTTGCTGTATGATCGGCCCTGACAAGATCGCGGGGGAAAACATGCAAACCCCATGGATCATGGAAAAAAAGGCATATAAGCCTTCATGAACGGCTAAATACTGTGTGCCGTGGGTCCGTGACTTGTCACAGCTCAGGCTTGACTCTGGCTGGTCTGGCAGGTCTCATGAATAATTAAGCAGCCGGCTCTTCTCATAGGATAAGAAAACTCCGCTATGAATAATAATGAGAAACCGACGCGTCATCATTGCACTTGCAGTTCTGCGCTACGTCGCCGATTTTGATCCCGCCCCAAAAATCATTTTAAACCCGGAAGCTGAAATTAGCTGACAAAAGCACAAAATTATCCAGTTTTCCCCACAATTAAAGCTGACAGGTGCTAACATTGTCTTAACTGATGCTCAACACACACAAATCTGTTAATATAAAAAAAAGTTCTCCAGGGTGTCCTGAACCTTTAAAAGTAAATAACTGAATTTTTAATTAATACCTATTCCCTGCACTTGCTGCTATTGCACTGTAAAATAATGAAACTATTATTTAATAAAACTGTTTTGTTTAAATGCACCAAAACGTATAGACTATATTCACTGAGCAATACAGTGCATCCGGAAAGTATTTATAGCGCTTCACTTCTTCCCCATTTTTTATTTTTTTATTTTTTTTTTGTTCAAGCCTTATTCCAAAATGGATTAAATTCATTTATTTTCTCACAATTCAGTTGATTGGACATGGTTTGAAAAGGCATACACCTTTCGATATAAGGTCCCAGGGTTGACGGTGCATGTCAAAGCACAAACCAAGTATGAAGACAAAGGAATTGTCTGTTGACCTTTGAGACAGGATTGTCTGGAGGCACAAGGCTGGGGAAGGTTACAGAAACATATCTGCTGCTCAGAAAGTTTCAATGAGCACAGCGGCCTCCATCAACCGTAAGTGGAAGATGCTTGGAACCACCAGGACTCTTCCTAGAGCTGGCCGGCCATCTAAGCTGAGTGATCCGGGGAGAAGGGCCTTACGCCCTATTCACACGGGGCGTCAGCGTCAACGCTTCCCATTCACTTTGAATGGGTGACGTCAGGCGTTGCCGAACTGCATTGTGGATCCGTCGGCGCCGCTTCAGAAGCGTTCCTCGCTGCAGAAGTTGGGACCAGCTCAACTTTTCAAGCGCCGACGGAAGCGTCAGCCAATCAGATCGCTGTATGCAAATACACCAGCTCAGACAGTGGCCTATTGCTGACTGAATTTCATTGGCTGACGCTTCTATGACGATCGTTTCAGCTCCAACTTCAGACACGCCCTCTGTCAAGCGTTGACGCTGAAGCCCCGTGTGAATAGGGCGTTAGTGAGGTGATCAATAACCCGATGGTCACTCTGTCTGAGCCCTAGTGTGGAGAGAGGAGAACCTTACAGAAGGACAACCATCTGTGCAGCAATCCACCAATCAGGCCTGTATGGTAGAGTGGCCAGAAGGAAGCCACTCCCCGTCTGGAATTTGCCAAAAGGTCTCTAAAGGACTCTCAGACCATCAGAAACTAAATTCTCTGGTCTGATGAGACTAAAATTGAACTCTTTGGAGTGAATGCCATTCGTTACATTTGGAGAAACCAGGCACTGCTCATCACCAGGCTAAACCCATCCCTACAGTGAAGCATGGTGGTGGCAGCATCATGCTGTGGGGATGTTTTTCAGTAGCAGGAACTGTAAGACTAGCCAGGATAGATGGAAAGATGAATGCAGCAATGTACAGAGACATCCTGAATGAAAACCTGCTTCAGAGTGCTCTTGACCTCAGACTGGGGTGAGGGTTCATCTTCCAGCAAAATATCAATGGAGTGGCTTCACAACAACTCGGTGAATCTCCTTGAGTGGCCCAGCCAGAGCCCAGACCTAAATCCTATTGAACATCTCTGAGAGATCTGAAAATGTCTGTACACCTTGACTTCCCACTCAACCTGATAGAGCTTGAAAGGTACTGCAAAGAGGAACGGGCAACAATTCCCGAAGACAGGTGTACCAAGCTGGTGGCATCATATTCAAAAAGACTTGAGGCTGTAATTTCTGGAATTGCATCAACAAAGCATTGAACAAAGACTGTGAATACTGATGTACATGTGATTTTTCAGTTGTTGTTTTTTTTTATACATTTGTAACAATTTTAAAAAATCACATTGTCATTATGGGGTATTGTGTGTAGAATTTTGTGGAAATAAATTATGTAGTCTATTTTGGGAAAAGGCTGAAACATTAAAATATGTGAAAAAAGTGAAGCGCTATGAATACTTTTATATGTACTGCATATAAAAATATTGATTATGTCATCATTTATGCTGAGAACTGTAGATGCTATGATAAGTCTAAGGGTGCTTTCAAGCTAGCGCTTTTGGTCCACACCCAGGTTCGTTTGACGTCATAGTACGGTACGGTTAGCTGGTGTGAACGTGTCTTCTGAACCCGTGAACCTTACCCGAGTCTGCCTAAAAGAGGTGGTCTGGGGTACGGTTCATGCGAACTCTGGTACTGTTCACTTCTGATGTGAATGCAATCATACCCAATAACGGAAGTGAACCGCCAACTGTACAACAAACTATCCTTTTCATAACGTTCGTTAGTATTTGTGTGTGTCATGTTTCGTACTTTGGTGGCAAGCGGGACTGAGCCAGGGCAAACACATTGATACACAGTAATGTCTGCTTGTCTTCTCCAAAAACAGCTTCTGCAGACACTGTGTGATGTTCTGAATGTTTGTAATATATTTGCGGCTTATGGAAGCGAGTCGCTTTCTGTATGTCCAAAACTAAAAGACTCAGTAAAAGCAGAATGACAGCGACGTGTGGATGCCTTTCCATTTCGTCGCTTTGCTTTCGTGACCATCACCTTGAAACAGCCATAAACAAAACAGCAGCTCGATGACGCAAGCGTACTGGGGTTCAGAAGGAAAAAAGACAGTGTGAACACAAACCAACCGAAAAAGTGGCAAGGGGGGACAATCGAACTTGGATAGGGTCCAGGCAATTGATCCAAGTGTGAAAGCACCCTCAGTCTCCAAAAAACACACTTAATAATAGTGTTATACTCAGTGTTTTGTGCTTATTATTTGTCTCTTCTTGTCTCTCAGCACTGTTTTAAAGGGCACTGTGTTCATCTGACTCCAGACATCATTAAGCGGGACGGGAGCTGGGGAACGTGGAGTGGGTTCGGCTCCTGCTCTCGGCCCTGTGGAAGGGGGATTCAGTTTCGCAAACGAGCTTGTGACAATCCACGGTGAGGCTTCCATCTGTCTGATAGAGGTGTTATGCCACACTGAAAAAAAAATGTTAATTGGATTTACTCAATTTTTTAAGGTAAGAGTTTTTTATGTCAGTGGTTTGTACAATCGAGAAAAATATTGCTTGAGGGGCTAATAATATTGACTTTAATATGGTTTTTAAAAATGTGAAACTGCTTTTATTGTAGGGCTTTATTAAACAGCTGTTAAATTTGGCTGTGCAATTTGGGGAAAATATCTTGTTTAGATATTTTTTATTGATTTTTAATTTTTCAAATGGGAAAGAACAAACCCCAGATTCATACCAATCCAACAGCGGGATAGCGCTCACATTAGCCAAAAATTAACAAATATACAATTGTACATGTAGGTTTAAATACAAATACAAACTAATAATAATAATAATAATAATAATAATAATAATAATAATGACAATACAAATACAAGCAAATAATAATAATAATTATAATAAACAATAATAATAATAATAATAACAATAATAATAATAATAGTGAAAATAAATACAAATACAAACAAATAATAATAATAATAATAATAATAATAGTGACAATACAAATACAAGCAAATAATAATAATAATAATTATAATAATAATAATAATAATAATAACAATAATAATAATAATAATAGTGACAATAAATACAAATACAAACAAATAATAATAATAATAATAATGACAATAAATACAAAAAAATTATAATAATAAAAGCATTTAATCAATACATTTTTACAAACATATAACCATACACGCCATATGTACAGTAGAATCAAATTATTTGAGATTTTCCACAAAATCAATAAAAGGTTGCCACGCCTTAAAAAAATTCCCCTCCGACCCTCTTAATGAAAACCTGATTTTTTCTAAATAAAGACAAGATATAATTTCTCTAATCCACTGAGCCTGAGTGAGAGGATGAGAAACCTTCCATTTTAGCAAAATAGCCCTACGTGCCAATAAAGTCGAAAAAGCAATGATTTTACACTTTGAAGAAGGCAACTGTATATCCGCTGAAGTAACCCCAAACAGTGCCACCTGTGAATATAGATCTAGCTTGTGCTGAAGAATCACAGCTAACGTATCAAATATTAACCTCCAGAAATGCTCTAAGTTGGGGCAAGTCTAGAACATGTGAAATAAAGTGCCTTAATTTAAATTGAATGAGGGACTGCCGGGCACACACTGATGATGGGTGAATTTTGTTTAAGAATTTAGTCCCACAGATCATTCGAAATTGAACCACAAAGATCCTCTTCCCAAGCACTCTTTGGGCTCTATTTTGACGGTCCATGCACAGAGCGCAAAACGCAGGGCGCAAACGCTTTAAGGGAGTATCAGAATACATTTTTGCTAATTTAAGGACGGGAAAATCCACTTTGCGCCGTGGCACATGGTCTAAAAGGGTCGAGTTTATTCTCTTAATGAGTTATAGGTGTGTTTTGAAAATAAACCAATCAGAGTATCATCTCCCATTTCCTTTAAGAGTCAGCTGCGTCGCGCCATAAGTGTATTTGCTGTTTACATGACGTAAAGTAAGTGTTAGTGGAAAAACTGAGCATTTCACAAGCAAACAGTTTACAGTTAACATCTTTATTTTTTTTTACAGGAAACATTTAAACAGAGCATCTACCGAGAATAAAAGATAAATGATCTACTTTCACTTTCGCTCTCGTGGATAGGGAAACCTTTGCGCATAGAGACATCAATTAGCCTATAAATAATTAATTTAAAATAATTAAATTCAGTTCTAATTTCCAGCAAACGAATAAATGAACAATAATAACAAAGTGTGTTCTAAAACCTGAGTTATATCCTAAAACACATGCTGTGCCCCATATGGTCTAAAACCTGACAGGTGGACAAATCTAAGCTTGTTTTTAACATAACAAATATAAATATGAATATAATAAATAATACTGCTAATAATAATAACATTATACAAAAGCAAATTGTTATGAATGAACTGAAAAAGCCTCCCGAGATGAAGAAGACATAAAAGCAGTGGTTTTTCATATTTATGTAGGGTAGAAAATAATATGTTTTGTAATATTTTAATCCTTTATATTTATATTCTATATATATATATATATATATATATATTCTTATTATATTCTTAATATTTTATTTTTTTCATATGTAAAGATATTTGCGTATTGCTCTACATCATGTGTGTATTAAGCAGTGTGTAAGCGAGGCGCAACTCTGCGCCGGAGTTTAGACCGGGTTTGTTTCGGTTTAATAAAAAATCTATTATAGTTTCTCAAAATAGCAACGCGCCAGAAGTGCGCCTCAGAACGCCTTCCTTTTTAGACCAGAACGCCTATGGGCGCACATATGAGCGCTAATGCATTTGCTATTTAAACAGCGTAGCGCAACGCCTCAAAACGACTTTTGCGCCAAGCTGAAACTATTGCGCCGTGCCTTGCGCCACATTGTGCCGGGTGTAGGATAGGTCTCTTAGTGTTATCTGTAAAGGAAGATGACTGGTTCAGAAGTAGATTATACAACATAGAAATGGAGCCTTTAACTAATATATTACTGGGGAAAATATCCAATTGCCTTTTTTTCAGATATTGCAATTTTGATTTGATTTGCGATTTAATTTTGTAGTCAAGCTTTAATTTAAACAGCACCTTTAATTTGTTTTGGTTTTAATTCACTCCATATAAATCAATTGCAACCACTTTCCTTAAAGAATATTTGTACATCCAAAGAATCGTTTGTTTTTTCAGTGTAATAAAGTAAAAGATTAACAAAAAGCTGATTAATACTGAAACAAATCTAATTGAACATAGTTATGAAGTTAATTTATCTCTTATTGGGATTTTCTTCCATATCCTTTGACCACCTCCAGTCCAGCAAACGGTGGACGTTTTTGCTCCGGCCCGAGCTATCAGTTCCAGATGTGTAACACAAAGGAGTGCGAGGACCCGAACTATGACTACAGAGCCGAGCAATGTAGAAAGATGGACGACAAGTTTGAGTACCAGAATACCTGGCACCACTGGCTGCCTTATGAACACCCTGACCGTAAGCATTTTACTATCTCTCTGACTGTCTGCCTACAGTGGAAAGAGGACATTTTAGAAACACTGTTATTTATTTATTTATTTATTTATTTATTTATTTATTTATTTATTTATTTATTTATTTTAAATGTCCCATTTACTGCATTGGTTGCAACACACTTTTTATTTGAAAAGTCAACTTGAGTAACTCGAGTATTGTTGTGAAAAGAAATTAATTAGCAGAAACCAGTAGTCGAGTTGCCCCTAATATATCTTCATTCATTCATTCATTTTTTTTTTTCGGCTTAGTCCCTTTATTAATCTGGGGTCGCCACAACGGAATGAACCGCCAACTTATCCAGCATATGTTTTACACAGAGGATGCCCTTCTAGCTGCAACCCATCTCTGGGAAACATCCACAACCACTCATCCACACACATACACTATGGACAATATAGCTTATTCAATTCACCCATAGCACATGTCCTTATGGGAAACCCAGAGCAACCAGAGGAAACCCATGCCAAAATGCGGAGAACATGCAAACTCCACACAGATATGCCAACTGACCTAGCCAAGGGTCAACCTTCTTGCTTTGAGGTGATTGTGCTACCGTATTGGGGCTTAATTTCTGGACAGATTGGGGTATCGTATTGGGGGGGGTCGTTGGGAGGTTAGCAGAGTGTTGGATAAAAGAGGAGTGTTGCGAACGCAAATTATGAGCCGAGGCGTGGGTTGGTTGTCGCGGACAAAAGTAAAGAGAGTTGGGAAGTCGCAGAACAAAGTAAAAGTGAAGAGTGGATGATGGAGGAGGGCGGGTGAGGAGGGCGATCGGTAAAATGAGCTGCATATAAATGTAATGTTGGTAACCATTGACTTCCATAATATTTTGCTGCGTCCGAAACCGCATACTTCAATACTACAGTATATAGTACGCTAAAATCAGTATGCGAGCCGAGTAGTATGTCCGAATTCATAGGCTGCGTCCGAAACCGCATTCTTCCATACTATACAGTACGCTAAAATCAGTATGCGAGCCGAGTAGTATGTCCGAATTTATAGGCTGCGTCCGAAACCGCATACTTTCATTCTATACAGTACGCTAAAATCAGTATGCGAGCTTAGTATGTCCGAATTCATAGGCTGCGTCCGAAACCACATTCTTCCATACTATACAGTACGCTAAAATCAGTATGCGAGCCGAGTAGTATGTCCGAATTCATAGGCTGCGTCCGAAACCGCATTCTTCCATACTATACAATACGCTAAAATCAGTGTGCGAGCCGAGTAGTATGTCCGAATTCATGAATTCATAGGCTGCGTCCGAAACCGCATACTTCCATACTATACAATACGCTAAAATCAGTGTGCGAGCCGAGTAGTATGTCCGAATTCATAGGCTGCGTTCGAAACCGCATACTTCCATACTATACAATACGCTAAAATCCGTATGTGAGCCGAGTAGTATGTCCGAATTCATAGGCAGCGTCCGAAACCGTGTAGTAGATGTAGTAGATGTAGTACATCTGAATTCCATTCATACTTTTCACGTTCATACTGTATAGAGCGTACTTTTCTAACGGCCGAGTAGTATGTTTAAATTCAAATGCAGTACCTGCTGAGTAGTAGGCGGTTTCGAACGCAGCCATAGAATTCGAAAATCAATATGTGAGAAGTACCCGGATGACTTACTACTTCCGGCAAGATTCTGGAGTGCGCATCCCATGCACACTGCGCTATCCCATAATGCCCCGCGAGAGCATTCATGAATGGAAGTGAAGCGACGCAACTGACGCAGGTAGGTCACGTGACCATGACAAAATAGCAGATGTAGTAGGTCCGAATTCCATTCATACTTTTTACGTTCATACTGTATAGCATGTACTTTTCTAAAGGCCGAGTAGTACGTTTAAATTCAAATGCAGTACCTACTGAGTAGTAAGCGGTTTCAGATGCAGCCTTTGTTTTTCCTACTATGAAGATCAATGGTTACCGCCTTTCAGCTTTCTTCAAAATAACTTCTTTTAGTGAATAAATGTAAATTTGTTTGTGAACTACCCCTTTAAAACTGCTCCTTTTCTCCAGTAAGGATTCTTCAACAGGCCGTAAGCAGTGACCTCTCATCTTAACCTTGTTATTTTAAATGATTAAAAGGCATTAGATCATTTCCCACTGCTGTCCTTCAGGATTCAGCTCAGTTTATCTGATGTAATCTTCTCTCCTCACAGCTGTTCTCACTTACATGCTGGGCACACATCAAAATATAAGTTCACACACTTTTTTATTTATTTTTTCCATGTGTTGTGTTCATGACATCAACATAAATCCCTCCAGAGTTATTAAAACTGGACATCTGCCTCCGTTTTATGATCACAAAGACAACTCCAGAGCAGTGCATGTAAATAGGGACTTTTTGAGTCTTTTTTTAATGTTTTGAATGAATTACTGAGGAATGTTTGCAGTTTATGTGGCATCACACTGTAAAATGAGCTCAGATACCTTTAATCAGATGAGGTAAACACTTTTACATTCAAAATACATTTACTGTGCTAGTTGCTCTTTTGGTGGGAAAATCTACTTTTTTTTATGCAGACTGTGAATAAATGCTTTACAATTGTTGGAAAGTTTAGCAGATGTCACATTGTGCATGGATATGATTTGGTCTTAATGGAAAACCGAGCTGGATGCATTAGCAAATAGTCCTGGAAAATTAGTGTCCTGTTTTGAGATATTCTGAAAATCTGTCTGGTGAGATTAAATGTAATGTGCTTTAAAAGACCATGTAAAAACTACCAGTAGATCATTCAAACCTTGTCAAAGTTGATGATGGTTATAATGATAGTTGATGGAAGAATAACATTATGTTTGCATGTCCTCTGTTGGACCAATATGGAATACATTTTATTTTATTTTATTTTATTTTTTATTTTTTTGTTTTTATGATTTTGGATTTTATTGTTTTATCATTTTATTTTGTTTTATTATTTTATATGATTGCTTTATAATTTTGTTTAATTTAAATTTATTTTATTGTTTTATCATTTTATTTTGTTTTATTGTTTTATAGTTTATTTTGTTGTTTTATTTCTTTTATTTTGTTATCATTTTATTTTGTTGTTTTAATTGTATTTAATTTTGTTTAGTTTTATTTAATTGTTTTATAATTTTATTTAATTGTTTTTTTTGTAATTTTACTTTAGTTTTATAATTTTTATTTTATTGTTTTACAATTTTATTTGATTGTTTTATAACTGTATTTTATTGTTTTATTATTTTATTTTATTGTTTTTTAATTTACAATTTATTTTATTTAATTTTATTGTTTTATATTGTTTTGTAATTTTATTTTATTGTTTTATAATTTAATTGTTTTATAGTTTTATTTTAATTA